CCCCAAAACCCCAAAACCCCAAAACCCCAAAACCCCACATTTTATACTCTAAATTGAAATAATACAGACTACTTATACACATCATGGTTGTTATACAACCTCTGGTTCTCATCAGAATTACGATTCTGAGAATATGATCACTCTGACTGACTTCTTAATCTATTCTTACAAAGCTGTTTGAGTTTGGCATATTTCTTGCTCTTCTTAGAAGCAAAGAAATTTGTATCCCCCACTTGGAAAAATGAAAGGGATTTTGTCAACTTCTGGGGTGAGTTTCTCTCATGTCTACCAGTTTTACTGGGAGCTCCATATACTGTAGCTCCTTCCTTGTAGCGTCTAGACTTGGAGGGCTTCTTTGCAGGAGCAGTTCCTTTCCTACTCTTACCCCTCTTCCTATTGATTAGCACGATGAAGTACCCTTTTGCCATGATAACTAGGTTGGTGTGGACAATCTCATTTTCTGAGGTAGTTCCAGGATCTTCTAAAAGAGATGTTTTAGCCTAGCTAACTCAAAAGAAGTTTTTATACATAATTAAAGATTGTCTAACTGATCTGTAGGTTTGATAGAGAGAATAGGTTCAAACTTTAAGTCAATTTACAAATTCTTCGAATAAAATTATCAAAATTTTGCTTAAGGCTCAGATGTTTATATAAGCTGTTTGAAGAGATATTTTTGATTGTTTAGACGAAATAAAGATAGCCAAGAAAGTGCTTAAGCCTTAGAGTGTATCATCTCCAAAAGAAAAGAATGAAAATTTAAATCAAGACCCACATTTTCTCCGGGGTTTGATATCTTGTAACTCAAAACTTACCTTTTCCTTTACAAGTAGGGTGATAGTTCTTAAAAACAATCGTTCTCTTGCGACCCTCACTGAGATCTCCTTCAGTTCGAATAGTATCAGGAAGACTAGAGTACTTATCTGGACCAATTTTTCTCCTGAGCCTCATGGTAGTAGGTCTTAATCTCCTCTTCATACTTTGGCTCTTGCTGTTATTACTCTGACTCTGGGTTAGTCTTTTATTCTGCTTGTTTTTGTTGAGTCGAACCTTTTGAAACACATTGTCTTTTCTTAGTATCTCCATTTGCTTCCTGCTTCTCTTAATATTAATATCAGCGATATTGAAGTCAAGATTTCTCAGCCGGATGCGTTTTGATCTGGGTCTTTGCATAGAAGCCCTCAATCTTCTCCTAGATCCAATCTCTCAGACCCTATTCAGCCGATCTGCAGTGCGGCAAGACATGTTCTCAAATTGTGAGTTCTCATCTAAGCTATCCACCTTTTCCATGCTCAAAGACATGTTCAATTCCTTCTTCCGCTTTTTATTAGTTTTTACAGGCTTAAATTTAGCAATATTCAAGTCAGGGAATTCGTCAAATTTAGCCTTTCGATATTTGGAATATAGATATGGGGATCTTAAAATTTTCTTAACTTGAATAATTTCTTGATATAACTTCTCTGACTTTTTCTCAAAATGCTTAATCCGTGCTAAATAGTTCTTCTCTTTTGAATCATGAATCTGAGCTTGCTCTTGGTATTTCTTAGCAAAAGATTCAGTTTGACTTTTGAGACCTTCCTTTAAAGTAATGATCTTATTTTCCAGTTTTTGCTTGAGCTCTTTCCACTCCTTCTCTTTCTGAATGGCTTCGTAATCAATTGCTTGTCATTCTTGGCTTGAAGTAACTTTTTGTTGGTTAAGCTCCTTGAGTTTTGAGCTCATAAGTTCCATGAAGGTATTGAAACCTTTCTTAAACTCGTTTAAACTGAAATCCTTCTCAACACCTTTAAAGCGTGAATTCCTCTTCACAAGGCTCTTCTGTTCTGGCTTAATAACAACGACTGAATCCCTGTAACATCTGGAGCATTTGGAGCTACTTTTTCTTTTATGAGTAGCTTGCTTTATCATTTGTGCTGCCTCCATTTCTAAACTTAGACGAGAGGGCTGCAGGTCCTGGATGGTCTTATGCGTAATCATCACCTCATAATTACTAATTACCTTCCTGAGCTTGTCCAGTTCTTTGCTCAGGAGGCGGATTTTGTTCTTATTTACATGATTTTCAAACATAAATTTAGAGAATTCAGAATCTATTGCTTGCTGAATGGCTGACAACTTCTTATCAACAATCTCATCAATGAGGCAGATAAACTTCATCTTCACATTTCTAAGTTCGATCTGATGGGCTCGACGCAGTCTGTGCATGTGATTGGTATAAGCTTTCTGCTCTGCCAGAGGATTATAAAATTTGAATTCTACATATAAGAACTTCATCAATACAAATTACTTACTGTTTGGAGTCCCAAAGATCTTCGGAAAGTTGCGATGAATCTCCCTGTCAGCTGAGCCACCTCTTTTACGGCTCTTTTTTGAGTGGAATTTGCTCTTCTGGTAGTGGCTTAAGAGTTTATTAAAAGCATATTTTGCTTTATTGGTCTTATCCTGAGTTGTTCTGGCTCTGATCTCATCACCAGTTGCATGAGCCCGAATCTCCTCAAAATGCCTTATCATATTTTCAAACCATTCCTTTGGATCAATTGAACTAAAACTGGGTCTACAAACCTACCTGAAAGAGTGATTTGCAGAGAAATTCCTGTAGAGATAGTCTAAATTTATTTGTCAAAAACCTTCTTAAATAATCAGGAGGTTCAAAATTTCCCTTGTCATCAGAGCAGAACTTAGCGGGAATTTTCTTTCGCATGGAAGAATAAGCCAGACCTACCCTCAGCTTGCATGATGGAAACGTTCTCGTTCGTTACCAAGAAGTCCTCCTTCACTTCTTTAATCATTTTTCTTTTGAAAGATTCCATTATATTTTCAATTTTTGTTGTAAATTAAGGGGTTTTGGGGTTTTGGGGTTTTGGGGTTTTGGG